ACATGTTGCTTCTGTGTTGGCTTTTTTAATGTACGTGTGTGTGTAGCGTTTTATATCTTCAAATATTTATATCAATTATTATCGCGTCGTGGAATTACCAGGATTTGCACCAACAAACACGTGTGAAAAATAAGTTGTTACTAGATATAGATTTTATGAAATATATTATACATTGTGTGTTCATAAATAAATAAATAAATGCGGAACATTTCCTCAATGGGAAATACGTATTATGCATGTGTAATGGCAGTGCGGAGCGAGGGCGGGACGGTGTGTACCCCCGGGACCATAGTTACTAATGGACGAGCTAATGAGGATTAATGAGACGGGATCCAATGGCGGGGAGGTGTAAGAAGTGCGGGGAGCGGCAGGGCCAAGTGCGGTGACGGGGATTGAGGAACAGGGCGTGGCCGGACCGGGCGAGGATAAATAGCAGCGTGAGCGGAGGCTTGGGGCTGCTTGTTGTGGGGAACTACCACCGTCGTCGTTGCCTGGCATCGAGTCGTCTCTCCATCCGTCTGCGAGCTGTCTTGAGATAAGAAGCTGTGTGTCTCAGAATAGAGTTGTCTCATCACCCAAGAGGACGGAGTCACTCGCGATTTCTTGTTGAGTTGTCATTGGACTGTATGCTTAATAAATGTATAGAAGACAAGACGGTGTCTCTAGAGAGCTACATTACATATGTATGTTGAATTTATTTCACACTTTTTGATTTAAAGCTTTCGTGACTGCAGGGATTCATATTCTTGTTTTTTTCTTACTGTGGTTTTCACACCTGATGATGATTGCTTGTGTTGCAGTCGAAACGTCGTGAGAATTGTATTGTTTTATATTTTTTATTATTTTATTGTTTCCCTTCTACGTGACTTTACCGAAAGAACCAAGAATATTATTTCACACTGTCCGGATATCAACTGTGCTACAGCAGAATGCACTTGTGAGTACAGTACAAAAAAACTTATGGTATTAATAATTTTTATTTCTGAAACAATGCTTACCATCTTTATTATTCTTAGTGCTAATTCAGATACCCCAATAAATCCCTCATATATTGCTCATACGAAAGAAACCAGGCGGTTGGTAGGATCTTTATTGATTTTGGCATAGCTGACATCATTAAGTAGGTCCTGAATTTTGTTATTGTATGTGGTTTTGTCCATGATGACAGTGACATTGCCCTTGTGGGCTGAGAGGATGACTGTCATCTCTCCTTTTTAGTTGAGAAAGCTCAAGTCCGCTCATCCTTGCTGATGTTACTAATAGGTATCTTAGCGTTTTTGAGGATTGCAGCGATTTCCGATCTTGCCGGGTCTGCAGGAATGTGTCCCAAACGCTTTAGGACGACGTCGACCTGGGCAATGATATCATCAACTGGAATGTGTTTAGGGGTGACTCCGAAATTCAACCTTTTAGCTAGAACCGATTTTAGGCTGTCAGAAATTGGGCTGTTGCTCTGATTGATGACAATCTTATCACCATCTAACTTTTTAATGTATGGATCTGGCTTCTTCTTGGAAAGGAGATTGAACTTGGCAATCAGGTTTTCTTTGCATTCAGCTTACATTTACAAGCACATTTCTTACATTGACATGCTAATCTCTCACAATACAATGGCCACCCCCCCCCCCCCCCCCCCCCAGCTTCGTTTGTCAAGATTTACTCGATCTTACATTTACATGCAAATTTCATCTCTAGCCCCTCCCACTGACCCTTGGGCTACACCCATCCCAAACCTTTATAACTCCTTACCTTAGCAGCGCTCCCACCATATATTCTCATCAGCTTTTCCGCGATATTTCTCACCTGATGACGATTGCTTGTGTTGTGATCGAAACGTCGTGATATTGTTATATTTTTTTTATTTGATCTATCTACGTGGCTTTACCGAAAGACCCAAATAATACAATATTATTTCATACGCATGTAAAGATCCAATCCCCCACCAGTAATATGATGAATTATCACAATTCAGGAATAAGGTGAATTGCCACAATCTGTAAAAAAAAGCACTGGAGAAATAATTCAAACAAATCACAATTACACTTTTATTATAATGAACGTTACAATCTCTTAAAGCTATGAATGTAAATCATACTTAAACTTGTTTTCATGATCCCCAAAATCTATTTTAAATGTAACGTTTGTGTCATTACATTAGACTTATGTGTCAACTGCTGGAAAATGATGCTTCCAAAACTACCTAGTCATTTACTGAGATTTTGGTATATTTTCAACAAATATACATCTCACGAATACACCACATATCAAACTGGGCTTTGGAATAAATTCGTGATTATAAAAAAATAATTTTCAGATAATTTCCCTCCAGATAAATCGTGCACCATTATAACATTTTTCATGTTCTTGGGATTCAGTTAAAAATATATATTAACAAAGCTAAAATTAAAAAAGTCATCATATATTTTCTTACCTTTAAAAATGTCACCTTTCCTTCCCACTGTTGTTTAATTAGATTTCCCAATTATGCGATCAACATCGTGTCCCGACACAAAGAGTTATCAAATGGCACAATAAACTTTGACGATCCACCCACTCATGCATATGCACTCAAGCCCACCCAAAGAGTAACCAACCAGCTTCGGATAGGCGCAATTTTGGCTTACATTATAGATTTTTTTCATACAATAACGACATAAATTCCGTTCTACCCATGAGTACACGAAGCTCGCCACGTTTCCACTTCCCACTAGCATCTGGACCAGGTGAGTTGAACCAACCACCTCCCTTGCACATTCTCCACATAATGTAAGGAAGTGGTGGGACACCTGCGGCCCGTGGAGCCCCCCCTCCCCCTCATCTAAGGTGATGTGTGGGGTCACGATTAGTACACATCAATGATGTCAAGCTTGTGGTCCGCTTGAGGTGAAGGAGGGGTGCTCACGTGGCCCACTGACTCATCTAGGTTGCCCATCACTGATGCAATGAGTGATGTTACTTGAGTCATCCGATTGAGTACTCGGGGACTATGTTGCTTCTGTTCAATCGGCCTTTATTTTCTTCTGCATTGGCCTCCAAAACGACGCCCCCTAACCTGCCCCACGTGGTCGCGTGATGTCACTGGCCTCGCTAACCTGAATCAGCCCTCTGAGAGGGCCTCCCTTAGTGGCCGTTGGTTGTGGTCTGCTCGACGAAGTCGGTGTGGACGCTCGGTCATGGTGAGCCTTCCAGGCGTCAGTGGGTATTTCTCAACACAGCTTGTGTCTCTGAGGAAGGTTTTTTTGTGTGGCAGTAAATCCACATTTTGTTTTGTTTCCAAAGCTGAATTGGGACAAATAAAGTGACAGACCCATATGTACAATGATATTTGTGTTGTGCAGGCCATTGGTGATCATCAGCTTTATACACTAGAGACCGAGATTAATTACATTTGGCTGAAATCAAGTTTGAGCCAAGTCGGTGATGCTGACCAAATACCATTTGGCTGAGTGCCCCTGACATGGCATCAACCTAGGATATAGCAGGGATACTGCACAGCGTTGGTAGACCTAGACTGGAAAATATATCTGAGTTTTGGTCTGTGGTAAAAGTGGCGACCCTACACCAGACCCATAAACAAAGCTAGTCTGCGTGGCTGCCTCGTTAACATTTAAGGGTTTAGTAATAGGTTTTTACCCTTTTATCTGGCACCAAAACTGACACCTTTATACAAGGGATCATGTTTGCAATAACCACAACACAAGCAATCAAAATGCAAACAAAAAGAGACAACTCTGATAATGATATGCACTGTCCTTGAAATTGATTGGTCCACACCCGAGACGGCTTTTATTAGAGCCTAGTCTCCACTGGTGTTGAAATTTAAGGGTTTAAAAATTAATGCACCAAACTATTAACATTATAAAACATTTGTTTCAGCAAATGCATACTCTGCATACGTTTTCATTCCGTTAGTAAAAAAACATATACTTATAAAAAAGTAGATATTACTTGTGTCAGTAATATTTGCAGTAAAGACATCCACATTTGTATCGAAGAAAGCTACAATTAGTCCAGCTGAACAGAGGCGTAGATGATTTTTTCTTGCTTCACTACTGCAGAGTTTTTTCTGCGGGTCCTCTGGTCCAGATCCAAGCTAGCATAATGGACATGGCCATCTACTTCAATATCCTGCAATCAAAATAAAACGCATGCATACATTGTTATTTGTATTGCACTTGTTTACCCAGCAATGTCGCTTTTTCACAAAGATCATGCCAAGTTTTTTTGCAGATATGTCCATGCGCAATCCCAATTGAGTGATTACCAAATAATGCTTCAATACTGGGAAGTGTGGCCAATGCAAGTTACATTGTATGGTGTTTGTTTTCATCTGTTGGAGGTAACCAGAGAACTTGGAGGTTACCCACGCAGATCAGCGTGAGAAAATATAAACTCGGCACAGAAAGGCACCCGAGTCAAGAATTGAACCCAGGTCTTTCTTGCTGTGAAACACAATTATTACTACTGTGTACACCCTGCCTGCATGAAACATGCAATATAGCACTTGGTGCATTATGGGAAAAACTTACTCCCAAACATGATTCATCATGCAACTATTCCATGACAGATCAGATAACTATTTATTTCAAGCAGTTTGAGGGCTTCACTTTGGATAAGAGTAGCATAATTAAATATGCTGATAGAATGCATGATAACAACATTAAATTATAAGCGTATTGCCTGGGTTTTCTCTGCGATAAAAGTGATGGAGGTTATTATCACCCCACTCGACCATTTTTTTTAAGTCAGAAATGAAGAGAGTGACGTTTCAACAGCTTGGACAGCGAAGATTTTTTGTTGCTATCCATTTGTTCCTTAAAATTAATAATTTAAAAAATCGATTTAAAGCTTTCGTGACTGCAAGGATTCATATTGTTGGTTATTTCGGTAAAGTCACGTAGAAGGGAAATAATAAAATAATGTTTTGTTTGCCTTATTTTATTATTTCCCTTCTACGTGACTTTACCGAAAGAACCAAGAATAATAATAACAAACCTTAATCATAATAATAAATAATGTTGGAGACAGAACGGAGCCTTGATATTCCAGAGTCGATAGTGATTACAACAGGTTTCTTCCCGGTGTGACGAATATTGATGTAGTGGTACAGCTGTAATTTTACATTGAGGTGGTTAACGAGCCAGATGCTTACGTCAGGTGTAGCAGAGTGTATCACTGTGACGATTACTCCTACGTTTTTTTTTATTAATCTGAGATTGTGTTCCATGGTCTGTTATATGACGGGCTAGTTAACTTCAGCAGCTGCATATATACACCACACACATCTCAACACGGGCAAACTGTCATCCTTCCTAATATGTTGTCCTTGGTGTCTTTCATCTGCGAGTCGACTCAGCCACTGCTCTCCGTACTTTGCATTGGCTCCCTTTCGCCAGCAGGACGAATAATACAATCTCCCGCCTTTGTCATTGCGCCTTCACCACCAGTTCCCCACCGCCACACCTCACCTCACTACTCTCGCCTTGCACCAAAGCTCACTGCAGAGCCCCTCCGCAGCAGCATCACTAAAAAAATTACTTAGGCCAACAAAGGTATCGAACTGTTACAGCCTCACGTCGGTTTTCTGCTGCCGCCCCCTCGATGTGGAACTCCATCTCCCATTGCACATCCGCAACATCAAATGCATTCTGACTTTCAGATTTTCGAGCAGCCCTGAGCTTAATTCAATGCTTCTGAGTTATTGACTTGTCTGGAAAATCTGGTGCGTTATAAATGTCATTATTATTATGACATACCATTCGTAATTCTGTGGTGGTATCATTCGTTATTAAGGTAACAATATATTTACAAGTATTTGCATGCAGATATAATTGTAGTATTTACATATAGTGATTGTTCTTTTGTTACTGTGTGACGCGTACCGTAGTATGTCCTCGTGTGAGATGGGTGTTCTCTCTTGGCACCGGTGTGGGAATTCCTGGTTTTGGAACAACAACTCATTAAAATTAATTTCATAAGGCGTTTGACTGAAAAATCCCACGTTATTAACGTCTCTGTGCGGTCTGTATGGGATTGGTATTCTCTCATGTCCTTTGAATAACTCGCACTAACCAGATTGGTGAAGTATGGTAAAAAAATAACCTTTACAAACCTGCACGACATGGATATACCCTTATCCAGTGTTGGGTTGACAAGGGCTGTGCAACATCAAAACCGGCTGCTCTTCACCACTGAGCCAGGAATTTTGGGGAGGTCTGGGCTGAGTATCCAACGCAGCCATAGCAGCTGCATGAGCAACAGTCCTAAAACTTGCCCATTTACCCCATCAGGAGGAGGGGGGTATAGCTTCCATAGGCACTCGGTCTACTGTCAGGTCAGAGAAACTGACCGCTTATTTCTCTGAAAAGTTTGAAAAAATTAGAAGGGCCATTCTGGTCTCCAACTTGCCTCTATGCTTGCCCCGTCCTCTCCTCTTCCAGTGTCCCCTCAAATCGCACTCCCAATTCTCTCACCAGTCTCCCCGAATGTCGTACTTCACGAGCATCATTTCCACATTAATAAAAGTGCTCCATCATCCTGGATCCCATCCCCACGACACTCGTCTCTCTGTCAAGCATTATTACCATGCTACTACCTATGCCATACATTTTACGTGCATAATTATGCTACAATGTGTATATGCTGTATATATAGTCACCAACCACTGACTACTTATAGAGATGCCAATGTAATGATTTTCCTTACCATTTTTTTGCTTGACCAGTTTGAAGATTACCACGACCAACACTGTTATCAAAACAGCCATCATTGCAAGAGAGATGAAAAATAGCATCTTGTATTGCTCCAAAATGTTGCCAAGTTCAGTCAATTGAGTTGTGTTTGAGTTCTCACAGCCAGAAGGACCTGAGCTGGCCACCTCTGAGATGCATCTTGATGGATTCGTGGTGACATTTCCAACTGGTTCGGTCCCTGTGAACATTAGCAAGACCATTAATCACGACACTAGAAACAGCACACATTGCCTTGTGAATTGTTACACCGCGCTACTCACAATTATAACCCGCTAACCTCACTGACCCTAGAAAACTGAAACTATGAAATCCCCTTCATAGTGCATTGCTTAACAGTTTAAAATGTAGGAACGTTCTTATGGATCACCAAAGTATCTGACCCGACATGAGGTCACACTATAAGAGTTTGCACATCATTTGACACCATGCCACCAAAACACCCCGATTAGACGTGTTTGTGGCTGTATCTCAGGTGTATGTAACGTAGCCAGTTGTCTAGAAATTATTTGAAACTTGCGAATACGGAGCCACTTTTACGTGACATATTCCTCTTTTTCTGTGACTACCTCGTCTATTAAAAGCATATACTGCATACATTATATATGCCTCCTCGTGCCCATGATTGGCATGGATAATCATCGACAACAGGATATGCACCCAGTGCCTTATATCAAAGTGGATAAGAGGAGTCCCACTTGTATATAGAATGATAAGCTGTACGCTCATAGCCCATGTGTGTTTCAGCGAGCAATGTGATCGGGTAACGAGCACTCTGATTGCCTGTCTCAGCTAATAAAAAACAATGAAATTCAGCCAAATCCGGCACAAATGGCCCTGTTTTTAACGTAACAAAAAATGTCAGTCAAGGGGGTGCCTGCAATAAATGCAGAGAGACGGAATCAGTTTTAGAACAGAAGCAAACGTGTATTCGCAGCATGCGTACACAATCTTGGGGTTTCAGTTCAACCCAGTTCTTCACGCATAACAGTACACATTACAGGATTCCTCCAGGTTCTGATGTCCGATGCACCGCAGCGTCACACTTGTCACGAGAGCGACACAATCGCCGTTTTGCCACTCCCCAATAGTTACACCTCCCCAATCTTGCTCTGAGCTCATTTATTAACTGTATACCCATTACTCTGTAACGGGTTGGGGCATCTGGCACATTGTGCCGGCCGACTGGCCTAACATTATTATTATGATGCAAGAAAATGTGCTGGCTCTTAAAAATCCCACAGGCTTCTGTTGAGTTGTCTGATTATTAAGGAGTATCATCCCACCATCGGGCTTGGCGCTGATTACATAATAACCTTGGTTATTTGGCTGGTGGAAGAGAGCATGTGAAGGCCCCATCGGTGTAATTGTCTCAGCTCCTGCTACATATATGGGGCATGTGATAAACCAGAGGCAGCATTTGCTCAGCTCATCCTAGTTTAAAGTTTGACCAACACTGGCGTCTTGGCTGGCTGGCCAAATCGCCCTGGGCACGTAATCTGGGACGCTGCCTGCGATGGTGGCTGTGTTCAGTGGTTCTGTTTGTGAGCAGACAATTGCTGTTCTGAAATCACCCAGAGCCCTGTTTGGGAATTAGCCTGACGGCGCTAAACGGGCCCGTTTGCAACCATATTTTCTCGCCATTACCTACCGCCCTTAAATGTACATGCTCATTTGGCCCTTGCCATTATTGGATAACAAATTACTTAATTAAGTTTGAATTTCCCACCGCTGGATTATTTGGCCCAACCTCTGGTTTCTGATACGTCAGATGGCCAATGGCTACAATTCTGCTCTGGCATCCCTCGTTCAGCCAGTCCACCTTGACTCTACCCACGTGCTTCTGATTAATAAGTGAGCCTGTGCTGTTCGAAGTTGCATGGTTGTAATAGCGACGAGCCTGCTATTACAATCGCACGTCACGTATCGTTTGCTTGGATACTACACCTAGCCGTGGCTCACGATAGACTGCTACTAACAACACGACGATGTTCAGAATCATAATCTTTATTTAGATTGGAAGAATCTGATAAGCAACACTTGCAGCGCCAAATGAACTGACATTTAGCCGGCACTCACAGACCACTGCATGCAAGAATCCTTCCACACACACAACTCCCAAGTGTTTCAAGTGTTTATTCCACGTTATCAACTCCAATAGAGAAATGGGGGTTATTTGGAATGCCTCAAAAGTTGCCCTCTGGGTGACACGTTAATCGTTAAGTAAACTATGAATCAAGCTACTGCGGACGTCAGTGAAATCAATATTGGCTCACTGCAGGTGTCACAAATATTTGTTACTATTTATCCTACAGCTGTGTGGACACATTTACATGGTAGGAATGTGCTTGCGATGTTTGTGTTGACCCCATAACAAATACAACAAAACAAAAATCAGGCCTGGATGTGAAGTTTCAGATCATTCTAATTTAATTTCGGAATAATCCTCGAGCTGGAAGTGATGTCACAAATATGAGGTCGGCGCCGCGCTTTTTCCACCAAAACTAGTTTCACGTGGCACGTCACAATTGTCTCCACAGATATGTCTTACATTCGTGGTGATTGGAACAAACAAGATCTGAGAGAAATTGTCTTTACGAATTACGACATCCGAATTTATATCCCAAACTCATCCCAAACACGTAGCTGTAAACGTTTCACCATACAGAAATAACGAAACCGTAATCCGATGTTAGTTGCACAGTTCACCATTGGTGTTTACCTTTTTCTCTTATGATGAGTTGATATTCTAGTCTTTGCATGATTTTAGAGAAATTCGTAGTGTATAGACAGCGGTATGACCCCAGATGATCAATACGTAAGACAGGTATCAGCAGAGAGAAATGGTTTTGGGCCTCGCAAATGATTGACAACGCGCCAATTCCCATCTACACGTTAACAACCCAAATATTCAAAAGGGCATTCTCTGGTGTCTATGCAATCGCTCTGAAGTAGTTTTTCTCCGTGTTACCGTCCGTGTATCGTACACCACGACTCTTCTCCACGTCACCTCTCCAAGGAGCCATCATCAACACCACAGGGCAGCACAACCTGATCTCCTTCAGTCACCAATATGTCCTGGGTTTTGTTGGCGGTGCCTAGGAGTGGTGGGACAGGGGGCCCGGGAAGACGAGGGATATAGCAAGGATTGGGGGGAGAACAAAATAATGAAGAGGTAAATATACATATATTTGAACACATGCACACGTATATATTTAAAGCAGTTGTACCACATTTCCATATGGGAATACTGTCCAGTATTCGGCACACATGTGTACGCCACAAATGAAAGTGTGTACATCAGAGCCCTAAATGGAATTGAGCAAGCAGTGTTCGCCTAGCTACATTGAAAACGAGGATCGATCCACGTGTTATGATATCTTGTTTTAAATTATGTTATTATATTTAGATGGGACAGGTGGATGTGATATGACACAATCTCAGGGGGCTCTGTTTTGTAATGCTATTAAACAAACGCAACATGACATAGTGCACTGTATACAGCAATTGTACTGGTTAGTTAACGTTCTAAATGTGTCATGTCTTCCACGGCTTTAGTAATCTCGTTACCGAAGAACAACTGTAAGACATAAATAGGTTTCCATAATAAAAGTTCATTTTTTATAAAACACGTAAATTTGAAGTGGGTAAATTGTGGAAATGAACGCAGTATAATTGGTTATTATCTGTTTTTGTTAAGCCCATTCCAGATAGTATGCTTAAATTCAGGCAGCTATGTGACTGGTTTGCACGGTGGCCACTGGAGCAGTAACGTGGTATATGAGCTGCTTCATCCAAGGGTGCTGTCTACCCACAAAACAAACACTCCCATTTTATTGCCCATCCCTTACCCAAGTATGCCAATATATTACCGTCATGTAATTATATATAATTAATTATATTGCATGTATTTGAGGAAACTTACATGTAACTTAAAATATGAAATTCGTTTTTTGTGTGTGTGCAAAATCGTTAAAGTGCAATTCACATTGGTCCAATGAGCGCGCATTATCAGCAGAGAAATGTGGAATCGGCACTGCAGGGTGAAGGGCCACCAATTGGGATGGGCACGATTTCTGCCAATGTGAATAGGGGGACACTGTGACTTTGACTATGTGAATAGGGGGACATTGTGGCTTTGACTATGTGAATAGGAGGACATTGTGGCTTTGACTATGTGAATAGGAGGACATTGTGGCTTTGACTATGTGAATAGGAGGACACTGTGACTTTGACTATGTGAATAGGGGGACATCGTGGCTTTGACTATGTGAATAGGGGGACATTGTGGCTTTGACTATGTGAATAGGAGGACACTGTGCCTTTGACTATGTGAATAGGGGGACATTGTGGCTTTGACTATGTGAATAGGGGGACATTGTGGCTTTGACTATGTGAATAGGAGGACACTGTGCCTTTGACTATGTGAATAGGGGGACATTGTGGCTTTGACAATGTGAATAGAAGGACACTGTGACTTTGACTATGTGAATAGGACACTGACTATGACTATGTGAATAGGGGGACATTGTGGCTTTGACTATGTGAATAGGACACTGTGACTTTGACTGTCGTAATAGGGGGTCACTGTGACTTTGACTATGTGAATAGGGGGACACTGACTTTGACGCTTAAAAACCTCGTGGTGCGTGAGCTTTCGTAGGCCGAAGTTTAAACGTAAACAAGTTTTGCTATAATTATAAGTATAGACTGAACGATCGTTTAACCAAAGTTCATATTTTTTATGCATGTTTCAATATCACTTAGATTTGTATATACCGGCTAGATACATGTAGATATTTATTGGATGTGGTGTTAATGATGTGTCCACGTAAACACTCGTCGTTGTAATGTGCTGCAATAGGCTTAAGGGTGACTTTGAACTAAAACCTTACATTTTTCACATACAAGTAATATAGAGTGTGCATTTGTGGAACTTACGTCGCAATGTACGTGTCCAAGCGTGTTTATCGAAAGTATAGTCAGTTGTATAATTACCAAAGCAGCAATACTTACTACAAATCCACAAATTAATTTATTTCTGGAAATTGAATGTAGTGCGCGTTTACGATGAGTATAGTTACGCCTTTAATTAATGTGTTTTTCAAGGTACGGAGCCTTTGTTTGTACCGACGCTATAGATATATGCAATAAAGTTGCTGCGTTCACTCGGGGTACCGTTTATACGTGTGTAGGTGACTTATGACGTATGATCAGAACGGCGTGATCAGAGTTGTGAGTAACAATTCAAAGTACTGCATAAATAATATATATGTGTGTGTGACTGATGACTTAGTGCACGCAGTGAAGGGTAGAACTCGTGTGTGCAGTGACGTTCAAATTGAAGACTGTGAAATACAGTTTAACTCAACTGTTATTCATTCAAAATTAAATAAGTGTGTATTCAAAACGTGTTGTAATGTGATTAAATTATCTGATAGCACAATTGTAATTAATTATTCCATTCCAATAACGTAAATTGCATGGTTGTTCATCATATCAGTGTTATCTGATAGCACAATTGTAATTAATTATTCCATTCCAATAACGTAAATTGCATGGTTGTTCATCATATCAGTGTTATCTGATAGCACAATTGTAATTAATTATTCCATTCCAATAACGTAAATTGCATGGTTGTTCATCATATCAGTGTTTGGCTTAGATCGCGTGAATATGAATGTGTCGTTAAACCAGCCACAACCTGACACATCCAATTAGTAAGGTTTGTCACGTAAACAAAACATGCCAATTCGTTATTGAGTTCAGCACACCGGCAGTGTGTTGGAGAGTAAACTCACAGCATTTACCATTCGAGTACCGTGACGTTTTGCCGGTAATTAACAACCAGCCTTATCAGGCGACAGCCTGAGTTTTGGAAAAATCCTCCTGTTTCAGTCTTACATAGACGTTGTTAATTTATTTTGTACATTTTATTGATGGACAATTTCAATGGGGATATACACCCCTCTGTAGTAGTAACATTGCGCTTGCCTAAAAACGCACGAGGGACTTCCATATCCCAAACGTTTAGCCCAAAATACGACAGGCCAGCGAGCCTTTGTTACTTCTCATGCCCTAAAAGTGCAACTAGCCTGGCACACGTGCCAAGGTGATGCTATCGCCACTTAATTGTGAATTATCGTCATTGGTGGTGGTGGTGATCGGTTGAGTTGACCTGTGACCTGTATTTGTGCTTGCAACCTACCAAGTGTAATTCACACACATTACACACGGTCACGGTGGCACATAGCGAAGGCAGAAGTAGAATAGACATTACTTAGGGCCTCAAGTAGCTCATAGGGTGACTAGATATTTAGGGAAAGCTACATTAAAATCTCAAATAAACCCTAATTATATTCCCATGGGCACATTGCTTGACCATTGTTATCCATGTAATCGCTAACAATTCTGAAGAATTAAGTTCATAATGTGTGTTCAGTTGTCCATAGTTGATAAGTAACGACTATGCTGTTAGCATGCAAGCATTGCCATAGTTGTGAAAATTACATTGACTTGGCAGTGAGAACCGTAAAGTATAATTCGCCTTGTTCGCACAACTTAAAAAAAAACACAAACCATTATTTGGCAAATAAGCACACGTATCATTACACATTTTAGTGGAGCTGTTAGTAAGTATTTGCAAACGTCAGTCAGCTTACATGTTTGGTACTGTTTAACACGTAGGTGATCTAACCCAAAAACCTTTATTATGAATAATATTGGTCGCGAAAGCCTACGTGTTAAACTGACTAACCTCTATGTGGAGGATACTTTTCTTAAAACCAGAAAGTTGGAGAAGCTCCGCATTAAGCGGATGAAATTGATATCTTCACTGGCGTTCCTCAAAAGGTGCAGAGATTCAAAAGTAATACCAAACACAGTTAAAATAGCACATCACATAAAGTCTTCTAAAGCTAACCAAATACTACACAAAGCTAGCGAATGATTATTAATAGAGAGAATACAGCACAACAGGAGTTAATTATCGTACAAAGCAAAAGCCTTAAGAGAGTTCCGTGTAAATGAAGATATCCAAATCCTGGCAGCTGATAAAGGGTGACAATACTGGGGAACAAAGAGCAGGGGAAGGTAACCTTGTATATGAACGATGTGGCCGTGATGTGCAGGGACGTTGCGTCGGTATGGAGAGCACTGGAGGGGACAGGGAGGTTCTGCACGGCCTCCGGCTTGAAGGTCAATGCGAGAAAGAGTGAGCTAATGGCCTTTGGGGACTCGAGGCTGTTCGAGGGTCGGCCGCCGGAACTGAGCTTACAGACAGAAGAGATAACGGTGCTAGGGGTGACCTTTTGTGGGGATAGGTCGGGGGAACATAACTGGGAGAAGAGGGTAAGGAAGACAAAGGGTCGTCTGGGTAAGTGGGCAGGGAGAAGGCTCACGATGGCCGGCAGGATTATGGTGGTAAAGATGGAGATAATGCCAACTTTAAGCTACCTGGCGCAGGTATTCCCACCTGGTAAGAGGGAGGTCAAGGTTTTGACCTCGGCACTTTTCGGGTTTATTTGGGGGGGAGGGATGGAGAGGGTTAGGAGGGCCAAGCTGTGTATGCGGGCTGGGAACGGGGGGAGGGGTGCCCCAAATGTGGAGTACGCCCTGAACTCGACCTTTGTAACGCGCTGAGACTGTTCTTCTCCGCGGAGCCGCGGGGCAAGGCGGCGTGTTACATGCGGTATCGTCTGACGTGGCGCCTGCGGGGCCTTGGGATGGCCCAGGCAGAGAGGAGTATACCTTTGGACTGGCCAGGGGGCTGGATCAGTGATGTGGTGAGGGACTTCATTGGGCAACACGGTCTGAATCGGTGGGAGCACGGTGGACTCCCAGAGAGGTGCGGGCCGAGGTGGAGAAAAAGGAAGCCTGTGATGAGGTGCCAGGCGCGAGGAGGGAGGTACACCGACAAATTTGGAGAAACGTGTTGTCGGCGGCGCTCACGAAGGAACAGAGGGACTTGTCATGGTTGGCGGCCCGGGACATGCTGGAGACGAGGGGTTTTATGTACGGCCGCCAAATGGCACACACCTCCAAGTGCCCGAGGGGCTGCAACGGGGACGAAAGTGCCGTGCACATGATGGTGGCATGCCCCTTTGCCCAGAAGGTATGGAGGAGGAGCATGCCGTTGTTGGCCCGGTTCGCACTGTCGAGGGTGACAACATGGGACGTCATGTGGGGGGAGCTGCGGGGTGTGGGAAAGGAGGACAGGGACCGGGCGTGGGCCATAATAAGAGCAACGAAGGAGGCCTTGTGGGAAGCACGCAAGAAGGAGCTGGAGGGGTCCCAGATGTCCCCATTGGAGGCATGCTATGTGGCAAGAAGGTTGTTGGAGAGGGTGGTGGAGGTGGACAGGGTGAGGCTGGGACACGAGGCCGCAAGGGAAAGATGGAAGTGGCCGCTGCCCAGGGTGGGTTAGGGCGACCGGGGGTGGGGGGGCCTTTTTCTGGCACCCGGGGGGGAGGGCGTGTGAGGCTGGAGGGGGGGCAGCCCCTATATGCACAGATGTGGCAAGTGCTGTGTCGGGAGCGATTCCGGTCCTGCGGACGGGTCGGTGGCCGAGCGGGGCCTTCGCGGTGCGAAGGAGGGGGCGGCCCCTCGGCATTTGCTTTGTTTTGTTTCTCCGCAGTGGCACTGAATAAATTTTTATAAACCGTAATTACCAGCGAAACGTCGTACTCAAACTGTGAATGTTGTGGATTCACTCTTCAACACACCGGTGGGCTGAAGTAGTGAACTATTTTGTCTTTCGTCAACGTGACACTATTTTGCTGATTGGCCATGTCGGGTGGTGGAGGGTTACGACACATTTATAAATCACGCGATCTAACCCAAAAAACCTTTATTGTGAATGTTTGCTACTGTTTTCCACTCGATATTTTATAGGATAATGTTTTGTCTTGACTGAATTCTAGTTAAGAATAAACAAAACATATAAACGCAGTGAGGGGAGGGTTTAGCTCGCGACAGCAGTGGTGGTCGTGCTTGAAAGCTAAACTAAACTATGCACTATTTTTTGTACCTTATTTCACCAGGTAAGGCCCAACAAAGCTATATAGGCTCTTTTTCAGAAGCGACCTGCCCACAAATGATGGCTCAACAAAGTTGCTTAATCATGTGGAAATGTATAGCATCCAAATACTCTAAACGCATGTTGATTCTAAATGTGGAGGGAAAAAACCGGAGGGGAGAAAAATCCACCCGACCACAGGTAGAACATGCAAATTAAATATGCACCATACATCAGTGTCGGGATCGAACCCACGACCATTCTGTATAAAGGGCGAGGTAGTTAACATCTCGCCACCGTGGCGCCCCTCTCACAAAGCGCCTTGAGCTAAGGAACTCTATAAATATAAAGTAAGATAAGCTGCAGTGAGTGCGTACGATAGGCCTTCTTGTTTGTACAGTCCTGATATGTAATGCAAACTCATGGAAAACCTAATTTGGTGGAAATACAACTTACTCATTGGAAACACCACGTAGAACAGAATTATATTTCCCAGAAAGAACATTTTTGAATCTGAAAAAAAACAAAAACAGAACATTTGTGAGAATCATAGTTTTCCATTTGTTGTTTAATGTATTCATAAGTAATGTAATGGCAAACATTTAAAAAAGGAGCACTTGTTAACTAATTGTTGGCCAACAAAAATACAACACAGGAGTGAAAATATGACGAAATTGTAATGACAAAAAGAGGTACCAAATTTTTTTTACTGGTTGCATTCCACATAACATTATGCAAATGCAGTACACATAAAGAGTCTGCTTGCCGAGAACAACGGCGAACAGTGGAACAACGCGGGTGTCCAGAATAGACACAACATCCTTTAAGATCCAAACATTGCACCACCTGGCTTTGATATTTTTCCTCGAAGACACATGTGCAACCAACAACTGCATCAGAGCATCAACAGGTCAGAATCAGAATATGTATTTATACTGGAAGAATCCGATGAGCTATAAAACTTTTTTCCAAATATGTCCAATAGGGGCGGGTCAGAATGTTACAAACAATATAAAACACCATTGGAGTGCAAAGTATTGGAAAGGTAAGCAAATCAATCACAAATACAACAAAACGAAACAATTTTTCTTTTAACAGGTAAAGCCCACTGAGCTATTAGCTTATTTTCCAGAAGCAACCTGGCCACAAATGATAGCGCAAGGGAGTGGCTTATCACGTGTAAATTTATAGCAGCCAAATGATCTAGATAATAGAAACGCATCTTTCTAAAAGCGGAGGGAAAAACCGGAGGACCCAGAGAAAAAATCCACGCGACCATGGGGCAGCGAGACATGCAAACTCCAAATATACAGACGTCAGGGTGGAGATCGAACCCCCGTCCTGCATGAATGGAAATTGAAAGACACAACTCACAGCGGTGTGATTGTTGCCATGTAACCCAACCTATGCACCACACAGTCATTCCCTATAGTCTGTGCTCCGTTAACAGGGGAGGAACAGCAAAACTGCACGAACTCTCCCGAACAAATTTCCATACGCAAGAATATAATAAAATACAGAACCTTAAAATATAAATAGTAAACCACTGACAATTAAATCTGTCCATAATAGAGGTGTTTTGGGGTTAGATTGCGTTAATATACAGTGAGGGAAAAAGTTTTTGATCCCTTGCTCATTTTGTACTTTTATCATCTGGCCACATGGCCGGTCTGCTCTAGACCAATTCCTCGACCACATCATTTCCATACACCCAGCCATCAGATTTACCATGGAAGTCGAAAAAGATGGCAAGCTACCTTTTTTTGGATGTCCTAAAAAAAAGAGACCTGATGGTTCAATGAGCCACTCTGTCTACAGGAAAGCTACCCATACGGATGCTTACCTGAAACCGGATTACCACCACCATCCATCCGAGAAGAATTCCCTCATCAAGACTATGCACCATAGAGCTCAATGCATATCTGACCAGGAACACATAGCCAGTGAACTCAAGCACGTACACCAAGCTCTTAAGGCTAATGGTTACTCCGACTACACAATCCACAAAGCTATCACTCCAACCATGAAGAAGGAACCTCTTGAGGAGCCATTCAAAACCATCACTTTACCCTACATTGCGGGGATCACAAAAAAGATCTCCAAAATCTTGAATAAACACAAGATCCAGGTCCGATTCAACACATTACATAAAATCCGTGATCTGGTTCCGTCTGTGAAAGATGTGATTCCGGACATTGAGTACCCTGGCGTCTACAAACTAAGTTGCCTCTGTGGTAGTAGTTACATTGGAGAAACCAAACGACATGTCTCGGACCGCATACGTGAACACAAAGCAGACCTAAAACACGGTAGGACCAACACCTCGGCCGTGGCAGATCACTGTTATAATTCAGTAGGCTCACATGACATTGACTTCTCCAAGACAGAAGTTCTCTGCAAGCCATCTGGCTACCATGAGAGATTCGTGCATGAGGCTATCCACATATACAAAGACAGAGACAATTTCAACCGAGAAGATGGATTCTCGCTTAGCAATCATTGGAAGGATTTGATAAACCATTTCGGGTCTTAATTGATTGTTCACGCTTACGGTGGCTTTCAGACCGCATCCATTACTTTCGTCTCCCCCCTCCTCTTTTCCGAACATAGATGGACTTGTCCATCTGAATAACTGCAAAATTGCTCTCCGTGGTGCTAACATTAAAAAAACCGCCACTTTTTTTCAAAATTTTCCTGCTGTGGTTTTCACACCTGATGATGATTGCTTGTGTTGCAGTCAAAAGGTCGTGAGAATTGTATTGTTTTATATTTTTATTATTTTATTGTTTCCCTTCTATGTGACTTTACCGAATGAAGCAAGAATATGAATCCCTGCAGTCACGAAAGCTTTAAATCAAAATTATAATTTGTGTTGTAACATTGTTGTCACGTTAAAATGTATTTTGACCTGCTTCCAAATTTCCTACTTCGGCGCTTTTCATAGCCAACTCTGCATCCCTCGTCGCCACGTTAACGGCAAATACGGTGATTGTGAGCGTTCATGACAACATCGTACGTTGTTCATGGCCTCAACGCATCTCAACGCAAGATGGTCACGACCTCGCGTCACATCTCCTGCCACACTTGATCCCCTCTTGCGCTGCAGCACAGGGGCCAACGGTTCATTGTAAGCGACTGATCTATTTCCCAGGTCCTCGCAAGCATAGGTGACCCATCTTTTAGTTTCGTGAAGGAGCCGAAATAGCACGTTTGCAGCCGAAGAGGTTGGCTCAGGGTAATTTCCATTTAATCCTGAATACGGCTCGGTTCAGACTATATGGGATAGAATTGCTCACTTCTCTTAAACGTTTTGCTTATGAAGGCATTTTTTCTGTTCTGCTTAAATAAAACTTTGATATCTTTTTTTTTTAATTTAACTCCAAAGACACACGCACCGTGTAGCCGTTAATGCAGTACACACTGAAGTTATTATTAATCGCCAGGTATTTATTTAGTTGAAGACTTCTTCTTTGGTTCTTTCGGTAAAGTCACGTAGAATGAGAATAAAATAATAAATTGATAAAATAAAATAACACAATAATATTCTCACGACGTTTCGGCCACAACACAAGCGGCCTTCATCAGGTGAAGGGAGCGAGACTGTCTGGTAGGACAGCGCTGGAGTGAGAGAGCCACGTTTAGATCACGGCTTTTAAGCTGTGTGAGAGGAACAAAGAGCCTTGACGAAGGAATTAGCATAAAATTTAGCATTGAAAAGGCTGAATGATTAGCTTGTGACTGGTCACAGAAATAGCTATGTTAAAAGTTAAAGCATACACATCCGCAGAGGCACCCATTGTTAAAAGGAATTAGCATAGAATTTAGCATTGAAATAGCTAAATTAAGGCATTCGCTTGTAACTGCTACAGAAATAGTTACGTTGAAGTCAGAACATACACATTCACCGAGGCACTTAGTACAAATCAAAACAGGAGAATTTAGCATTGAAATAACTAGGCGAATTTAGCATTGTGTGTATGCTCTGACTTCAACGTAACTATTTCTGTAGCAGTTACAAGCGAATGCCTTAATTTAGCTATTTCAATGCTAAATTCTATGCTAATTCCTTTTAACAATGGGTGCCTCTGCGGATGTGTATGCTTTAACTTTTAACATAGCTATTTCTGTGACCAGTCACTAGCTAATCATTCAGCCTTTTCAATGCTAAATTTTATGCTAATTCCTTCGTCAAGGCTCTTTGTTCCTCTCACACAGCTTAAAAGCCGTGATCTGAACGTGGCTCTCTCACTCCAGCGCTGTCCTACCAGACAGTCTCGCTCCCTTCACCTGATGAAGGCCGCTTGTGTTGTGGCCGAAACGTCGTGAGAATATTATTGTGTTATTTTATTTTATCAATTTATTATTTTATTCTCATTCTACGTGACTTTACCGAAAGAACCAAAGAAGATGAATCATTGCAGTCACGAAAGCTTTAAATCGAAATTTAGTTGAAGACTATTACATCGCAAAATGTAAACATTTATAAATGCAATCCATGTAATTGCTATAGAGGTATAACCAGGCGTATTTATTGCCATTTGATGCCACATTTAAATATGTAGCCATCGTATCTGCCTATTCGTACAGGATAACACGTGTGGGTTATGATGTCAACTGTAGAAGTATCTTAGCGGAGGAAAAAATAAGCGCACATGGGACATACATTCTCTTATTATTACGAATATGCAAAGGAAAACAAGTTTATTGTAACCGAGTGCATGCAACATGGTAAAGACTAAAAAAAAATTGGGTTAGATTACGTAAATATAAATGTCGTTAAACCTTCCACAACCCGATACAGCCAACTAGTAAGGTTTTGTTACATAAACAGAACATACCGATTCTTTACTAGTACAGCACACTGCTATGTTGCAGAGTAAACCAACATTATTTACAAATTGAGGACAAGGATTCGTTGGTGATTACAACAATCAGCTTCATCAGGCGATTTACCAGAATTGCAAATCGCTATTATTGCAAATCGCCAGAATTGCAAATGGCCTGATTAATCTGGTTGCATTCACCAGAGAAACGTCGTACTCAAATTGTAAATGTGGTCGGTTTACTTTCCAACACACCGGTTTGCTGAAGTAGTAACTAATTGGCACGTTTTTTTTTTTAAAGTGGCAAACCTTACTAATTCGCTGTATAGCGTGGTGGTGGTGGTGGGTTTACGACATTTGTATTTACGCGATATAAACCAAAAAAAAACCTTCATTGTGAATAATATTGGTCGCAAAAGCCTCCTACGTGTTAAACTGGTAGAGACAAAACAAGTCGACTGTTAGAATTTAAGATCACCTCATTGCAAAATCAGGCAAATATTAAAGTTTCAAAAGAGACGATGGAAGAGCGTTGAGCTTACCTTTTGGCTTAAAGCGGAGCGTGAAACAATGTGGCTTGCAACGCACGCATTGCGTGAAGCTGCTACCAAACTACACGAGAGGCGAACTCTGAATCAGACTTCTGCATCTCTTCCTACAGGTGCGGGTTTGTTGATCTATGATA